TCTAAAAATAGAGTTGAGACCAGGGTATAATTAAACGGACTCTTTCATTCACTACGAGCTAAGTACACAACCTAAAATTCCAACAAATACAAAAACGACACCACATTATTGGCAGGAGATTATTTTATTTGATTTATCTTAGCCAGAAGACACATTGAGGCTTGGCGATTCACTTATCACGCAACACAGAATAGATAAACCCACTGATTTATCTTGGCTAGAAAACAAATTGGTCGCTTTTAAGGACAAGCAGGCTAACCCAGATTTCAGGAGTTTCCAGAAATCTTGACCTACACCAAACGTGAGCATTGCCCTACCTATAGGAGAAGTTTGGTTTTATTGGTGTGTATATTTGTTGGGTTATAGAGAAAGCTCCCCTTGCCTTTTAAAGATACTGAATATAAGGATCCAAAAACTTTAATTTCGATTTTCCCAAAACATCATTTATCGAGATAGCCCCGTTGTGCTTAAAAGCGACCAATTTAGATCAGCCGTTGTATTTAACACGCCACACAGAATAGATAAGCACTCTGATCTATCTTGGCTAGAAAAACAAATTGGGGTCTGCCGTTTGACTTAAAATGACATCCAGAAGAGAAACACACTGCTCTATCTTAGGGAGAAAACAAATTGAGATCCGAAGTTGTACTTAGCACGACACACAGAAGAGATAAACACACCCTCGAAACCAATTTCCGACTGGCGGAATGTCTCGCACCAAACGACCGCCGACTACAAGTAATCCGTTTCAAGTGGTAGACAATCTTGGTCCGATCTTGTGGACACAATATATGTGTCACGACGTGGTGGAATCAGGCGCTCGTCAATTTGTCGCCATAAGGTGTGATTGACATCACCTTAAAGCGTGTTAATTTATCTTGTTTTTGATGAAAAAAGTGTTCATCTATCTTGATTAGTAGTCTAGATATTTGCGATCGAAGATGGTGGGGGTTCACCTGTTGTCAGTCAGCGAGAGAAAGGCCACAAAAGTTAATTAATGATTTCCAGAGCTTGAGTGTCCTTGAAAGGTGCAAAATTTCGCCCGTTTTCAGGATTTGGTCAATGTTTTTCAGTAAAATCTACACAGAAATGTTTTTTTAAACTTGTGAAATGGTTTTAAAAAAGAAGTTGAGCAAAGACAAAAATAACTATGAAATAAAATAGAAACGAGGATTTCTTCGACAGACTTATTTCGACGAGCGCCTGATTTCACCAGGACCCCTCACATATTGGTTCCGCTACACGTCACGAGAGAACGGCGAATGATCTGTACATTTAAAGTACCCGGGCCTCGATCCTTGACGCAAGTTTTGTTTTTCATTATAATGATAATAATAATAGATAGTATTTGTATAGCGCAAATCCCCGCTCGAAAGCAAGCTCTATGCGCTTCACAATCTGTACTATTACCCCAGCAGACCTGAGAGCATTTTGAAACAACCTCAACTTCCTGGGAAGCATACAGTGGAAGCGGCCATTTATATGCGCTAAAACACTAACATACTGACAAGATCTTTCGCTGTCAATGGCTGGGTACCCATTTCCACCTGGGTGAAGTGAGGAAAATTCGTATAAAGTGCCATTCCCAAGGACACAACGTCGGGCCCGCGGCTCGAACCTCCGAACCCGCAACCTCACGATTACGAGTCCGGTAGTCTAACCACCAGGCCCCCGACGCAGTTTATCAGACTACACGAAAAACACGAAATACAATAACATTAATAAGGAAACGGAAAAAAACACTTAGGAGAGTAGACGAGGACAAGTTACCTTGAAGTAACGTTCCACGAGAAACTAGATAGTCAACAGCCCCAAACTCCAGTTTTACGTAACCACGTCAGCGCTCTTTTCTTCTTCATCTTTTTGGTGAGAAACGAAGGAAACACGGTGGTTGGCGGGGGGGACTGAATAGAGAGATAGAGTGAGAGAAAGAGAGAGAAAGAGAGAGAGAGAGAGAGAGAGAGAGAGAGAGAGAGAGAGAGAGGGGACTGGAGAGAGAGAGAGAAAGAAAG